GCCCAGGAAATCAGGCATCTGTGGAGGATGGATAGGGTGCTTATTGTACCTGTCGTTCTCTCCTGTACAGGTGTGATACCACACACGCTACACAAAAGCCTGGGAACATAACAATTGAGTAGAAATACATACATCACACTACAGAAGGCCACTATATTGAATACATGCCATATTGTTAGGAAATTCCTTAATACAGACACTGACACACACATTTAATTTTAATTTTGTTTTGGTTGCTATGCCTTGACTCTGGTCCGGCATAGTACACAGCCACCGGTGTAAACCGAGTAGAACCCACTAAACCCAACATAATAATGAATTTGTTTGACTGCATTTTCAGAAAAAAAATGAAACTTATGCAAAAAATGTTCATGAAAAATGTTCATACAAAATCTTAGCCATGTATATGCCAAGGAAAAAAATAGGCATTTGCCTAAAATCCGCTGTCTACTAATGACAATATTTGATATCGCTTTTCTTAAAAATCATGCTATACACTTTATTTTTACTACCTTCTGTATTTACGTACAATAATTGTTTGACTTTTCAATTACAATTTATTAATTAATTAAACGGCTATTTATATTTTCTGGTTAAAGAACACTTTTTAAAAAATTCAATTCAAAAAACACCAAACTAAATAAACTATTTAGCACGAACTTTTACATATTATTTGTATATTTTGATAATTGCAGAACAATGCTAGTTCGTTTCTCTTATTAACTTTAGTTAATTAATTAATTAAACATTCATCAAACACTTTTGAATTCTGTATGTGGCTAAATTATATAATTTGAAACAACTTGACAAATCATTTTATTTCTGCTGCAGTTATGCATATTACGTGTTAAAAAATCTACGTATTTTAATTAATAAAACCAAATTCTGCATGTGAAATGGTAGTAAAAAAGTAACCATTCATTACAATATTAGAGCTCAAAATCCATTATTAACGAACAATTTCAGCACAAGTAAATCGGGAAATAAGAATCTCAATATGCAATTTATGTAAAGTGATCAATGTTAGGAAAGGTTTTAAACCTACTAACATGCAATATTTGCCATGCAATATAACATGCAATATTTGCCATGAAATTATTTCGGTATGATATATCTTCGTGCCATGATATTGTAATGAATTTAATTATTTCTCACTATTATTTCGAGTTTACAATTCGATTACTATTGTTACTCGCTGTGCAATATCGTTCAGAAGTTTGCCATATGGCGCTCGACTATCGGCCTGTAAACAGTCGTTATTACAAAGTGGAAATTTTATTGTTTCCGCCAAACATTTGCATCGCTTGTATGATTTATTATTATCATTAAGTAAATTATCAATTTTTAAATCCGGAAGGTTCGAAAACTCTCACGAATATTTAGAAGTCGTCCATTCCATCGTCCCTCACCATATAGTCGCCCCGTTGTGGCCTTGGTCTAACAGGTGCGGATTTAATCAAACAAACCTCTTACTCTCATATATGACGGCAATGTTTAAATTAAAATTATTCTCAATCTGGTAAAAAATTGTACTACTATTGGTATTTGTTTTTGTTTTCATGTATAAAAATCTCCATCTTTTTTTTTCAACTATATATTTTCACTAATTTCAGTAATAGATTCTTTTGGAAAACTACCAGCAGGCGTGTTAGGGATGACACAATGGATACAAGGAGATTACGATCAGTGTTTGAGCATAGAAATTCCCCGAAATAAAAGGAAGGTTACTAATGGAGAAAAGAAGCAGGTTGGAGGGAAATATTGTGCCTTGAAAATTGGATTATCAAACTCAATAATGAATACTACAAACTCAATTTATCGTTTTGAAAACAATTCATTGATTAAACTAGCAAAGGATATTGTTGTAAGTATCAAGCAAGACTTACATTAATACGATTTCGTGTAATTTATCAGTTCAATTCATTTAATTTAAAATAAATAAATTAAATGGCTCAGTAAGCAGTTAACAAATCAATTGTAAAGAGTACTACCACATTTCATTTGTGATTTAGAAACCGGTAAAGCTTGGTGACGTCTTCAAAAATGTAGCCAAAATGAAGACGGGTATACGAGTAGATGTGTGCATTCCTAATACATGTAGTGATAACGACTTAAAAAGTGTTGGAAACTGGAGTAAGTAGAGTTAAAACTTTTTAATTTTATCAAAATACTTTACACTCTCATTTGATCTGCAACAGTTCTGTTCATTATTTATCACTAAGAAAAAGAAACGAAAGTTTTAAATGGAGTGATTACTTCATAAAATTGATATGTACTACGCAATTTAATGTAAATTTTTTGCCGAATACAGTGTTAAATATACATGCGTACGTATTAGTCTGTAGTCTTTTTCTCTTAGTAATAATTTGGATTTTTGCAGTCAAATGTCGTCAAGTAAACTAGAACCCCCATTAGTTCGAATTATTTATTAATCTGAAAAACTCTACACATTAATTAGTTGAGATTACTAAAAGTTCGTGCAGTGAAGCATATACAATTTATTTAAAATCGTACTAATATTAATTTTATAAGAAACAGTAATTTTAATATATGACAAAATAGTTAACATTAGTTAATTGTTTACCAATGTTATTTCGTTAAATTATAATTGTATATAACAACATATAACAAAAATCTCTTAATAAAAAATATTTCGTTAATCATAAACTTTCGCTTATGTTTTTGAATTTATAAACATTACATGCTCTTAAATGTAAAACGTTTTCGTGTCTTTGATTGGCTGGCATTTATTTTACAAAACGTCAAGTTTTACTCTTCAATCAATGATGAAAAAAAATGCATATAAACGGTATCGAAACCTTAAATTAAAGCAATCCTTCAATTTAAAAACTTTAATAAGTTACTTTTATTTATTAAAAAACTCTATAAAACATTTTGGTTTATGAAATTGAATTCATTTTTTATCTTCTGAAACCGTGTTTTTTTAATTTCTTTGATTCACTAAAACAAGGTATGTTATCATTTCAACACTTGGCAATATTTCATCTTTATTTAGTTGACTTTATTTAGTCAACTACTGTAAAAAAAAAAAAATGGAATATCGCCAAGTGTTGAAATGGTAACAAACCNCGAATATTGCAAAACTAAAGACGAAAAACTTAAATATACTAATGGACAATTGATATCCTTGTAAGTATAAATTAATTAATTTTATCAAATTGACAAAATCAAAATATAAAAACAACAAATGGACGACGCAATATAAAACATTAGTAAATAATAAACTTTTCGTTTGAAATGTAAGAATATATTTATTTAGAAATATGTTATAATTTAATTACTTTTGATGAAATATAATTTTAACTACAAAAACCCCATTTATTCTAATTTGTTTTGAAGAACCTTTCCTGTTCTTACAGACTTTTTACATGAATGCATCTCATTCGTCTTCAATCCACCTCATTATTATTTTGTTTTGAACAATAAACTGTGCATGTAAAATATTACAATTGTAGCAATTTATTTATAGCAATCGAGAAAAAATACATAATCTTTCAGTTATTGTACTGTAATCACCTTAATTATGTGTACAGTATTTTGAAAAGTTTTACTGCCCTTATAAACAAAATGCAGTTTCAGGATTTTGCAGACTACTTTTAACGGCAGAGAAACATAATTCGCTAACAATATAAAACAGAAAACATTTTTAATTGTCTACTGCAGTATATATTCAATTTTAAATGGATATAAAAATTATAATATTCGTTTATTGTTTAGTAATTGTTAGCATTGGCCGACGTATTACAGAAAATTTGCAATCACTGATAAGTATTGTAAGTTTACTATAAGATCTGTAATTTAATATTCAAACACCACTAACATTAAATGTGTCAAGGCAAACCTTATACTGTTGGCTTTGGCATCAAAACGTATGCCTTTATGACAAAAGATTTGTAGTACAGTCGACCCCCTATAACGCGGTAGATACGTTCCGCTTTATACGAATTTTGCGTTGTAGGAATCCTTAAGTACATGAGCCAATCACAGCCGGAAACGTGTGAAGTTTACGGACTACGGCAGTTTGAAAGATTTACTTCATAAAATTAATCGATTCTAGACTAATTCGACTCAACATTTCCTAAACACGTATAATTTTTTGGGAATAATCCGTGTAAACTATGCTATAAACAAAAAAATTGTAGGATTACTTACCGAGTGTGCACCGTTCGACCACGCCATTGCTTAAGTTTGTTTTCGTCGCGGCGCAGCGCACTAAACGGCGGCCATGTTTTCTGATAAGTTATTTTTCTGCGAAAAATTCGTTGAACTTTGGAGACATCACTAATAGAAATTATTTATGTGGCCGTTGAATAAGAAATATTTTTTCACAAGAAATGTATAAAATTACCGTACTGTATTAGACTTACATTACCTAATTTAGGCCTATATACTGTACAGACGATAGTAAACTCAACTTACCCGCCTAAACCCTTCATAGTGTGTAAGTAGTTCGGCTGCTCGTTCACTATTGGTACAGATTCGACCAATCCTGTCGCAACAGGAGTCGGCAATGACGTTTTAGCGCATTTTACGAGTCTTTTTTAGCATCTTTATACGAATACGGTCGCAATTTTTTCGCCGCGATATACGAGTACGCATTATATGAACCCGCGTTATAGGGTGTCTACTGTATATATATATATACTGATATAGTTGTATTCGATAATCCGGCACCACGTCGGTCACGACGATACCTTCCTTGTCAACGGAATGAAACTTTGTCAAGGTAAATCAAAAATCATAGCAAATTATCAGCCAGTTAAGATCCTCCTTGTAATTTAAAATATGTTCGTATGACGTTTATAATTTAGTCAAGTAAAATTTATATACAAGGAAATTGTAATAGAATTCTTTAACTATAATGTACACAGGATAATATGTATATTCATATATCATGAAAAGATATATTTTTATATACTCACTAGCTGCAAGGACCCGCTTCGCTGGGTTTTTATTTGTATGTAATATAGTTTTTTTTTTATATATATAAAAGACTGTTTTTCTAAGTAATCTAGAATCTAACTGCAAAAATCCGCTTCGCTGGCAAAGAGTAACGATAGTGAAGATTAAGTTAATTACATTATAGCCAATCTTACCCGTTTTCACAGAATGCAAGAATTAGGTCCACCGTTTCCAGACTAATTAGAGAATTTTTACGTCCAGTTAAACGAATTATTTTCAATTTGATCAATTTTCTGGAACATTTACAATCGTTTTATAATCGAACCAATATGCAATAACAAATTTGAATTTAAAACGGTTCGAACATTTTTAAAATCGAAATAGATAAAAATATTTATAACAATGTCTGAAATGTTATTAATTTAATACACCTA